GAGTGGCATGACCCGTAAATAGGTGTGAGATCGAGGGCGAATAGGGAGTGGTTTGAATGGACGGCTGATAGTGAACCCTTCGATCATACACCGTTCGTTGGACATTTGGAGGCCTTAATGATGTCGGAATTCAGCGATCTTGGGCTCGTTGGATTCGTCTCGTCGAGCCGTTCGATTCGAGTATAAGCTCGTCAAAATCAGAGACCATTTGGTAACTCAAATTGCTGTTTGAACCTTCCGAAAGCACTTTGAGCAATTGATTTGGACTCATTTGGGCTCGGATTGGGTTGAACTTGGTGTCGTCGGGTTCGTATTTCCGAGACGCTCAGTTTGACTATAAGCTCGCTGAATCAGACACTATCATTTATTGAATATAATTAATATTATAGAAATTTTAAACTCAAAAAAACACATCAAAATCTCTCAATAGTGATGATTTTAATTGCTTTGCAAAGCATAAAAATAATATGATATTTTTTATCGCATAGTATTTATTTTTTTATAAGCAATTAAATGAAGTAATATTTAGAGTTGTTGAGACTTGCATGGATGCAGGGATGAGATACAACGAATTAAAGCAGCAAAGCCTGACATCCCACACAGAAGCCTTCAGCACAACAGCAAAGAATGTATGTATAAATATTAACTGCTTTGTTAGCTACAAAATTCATTTGATATGTGCTCAACTTCTCTACAAAAAACAATAATGCAGTGGGCTAAGTGTGATCCTCGTGGTGTAAACCCTCTGAACTCAACATCTGACAGCAACGAAGCCATGAATCTATCATGTTTCAACATGTAAGTTCATCATCCCTAACTATCTTAATATTGTAATATCTGAAACAATGACACTCTTTATATTTAATATGTTATGATGTTGCAGGAAAGAGGTAATGGATTTCCAGTGAAGCTTTGATGTTTTCAAGCAAATGGAGCGTCAGAACTGAACTACTTAGCCAACTACTTAAGTTTCTTTCTTAGTTAATTTCAAAACATTGAAACCTTTCTATAATTCCTAATTACTTGTTGTGATAGTTTTATTTGAAGAAGAATCTATCCACTTCATGTTTATTTCTACGTAGTTTTCCTAATTACAAGAACATCTACTCACTATGTTAGTTCATATGTTTTGATGTCATAACTAGTACTGACTTACTGTATCTATATATTTGAATAGCAAAATGAAAGTATCTATATGATATGATCAGAAAATATTGGGCTAGAATGTCTCTGATCAAAAAATTATTCTAATGAATTTTAAAGCCCTAGATCTGCTTTAAATAAGTATAATATATAAGTAAAAAAAATGATAGCTTTTTTGGTCCATAAGATTTGGGCCACCCTCCATTTGCTTTATTAATTAGTAAAATCATAAAAGCCGCAGCCCTTTAATTTTTAAGCAAATATCATCTGGCATCAAACTATATCTTGGTTTGAGAAAATGTGCCAATCTTAAGCCCATTTGCGAGCCCAAAATGTCCAGCCCAAACATCTTTGTCGGGCCAGACCATTTGCATGAGTTTGCCTCCCTAGGAGATTTAATTAATCATCTAATCAAAGAATAAACATTTTAGAAATAATATAAGAGCTCATTTTGCACAATGTTTAGTTAAAAAATATAATTTATTTTAAATAATATTTCTTTTATTTGTAAAGATCAATTAATACTGCTAAAATATTTATAATTATTATTTAAAAAATATTTATATTTGAGCTAAATTTTAAGAAGAATACATACTCCAATTTATTTTAGAGGGGTCTTTTCATTGATATCATTTTAAAAAAATCTTAATAGAATGGAAAACATTTCATTATACAAATATTGAGTGTTGATTTCAAGAATTAAGATAGCCTAAACTTTGAAACTTTTTTAATAATAAATGATTTGTATAGAAGAAGAACTTGGACATGCAAGTGGCTTTGCAAAGTATTTTCTGTACACTTGCAGCTTCTATGGAAGAAAAACGAGATATATAGTAGAAAATTTTGGGTGTTTTTTGGGTTTGTAGTATTAGCATGATATTGGGTACAAAAATTAAAATTATATTAATTGTAAGGAATTTTTAATTAAAAATATTAGTTATTTGCACCTGCACTTCATGTTGATTAAGAGATAAAAAAAATGAATGAGGCAAAAAATACGCTCTCTGAACAATTCACGGTTCATAGAAGTAAAATAGTTTAACGTGAAAAATAACGGCGGACATACATGTGCCCGGAAAAAACAGCGGACTAAATAGCGGAATATGCGCCGGAAATTTACGTTGGATTCATTCGAAGAAAATGCCGGCAGATTAACCGCTGGAATCCATTCAAAGAAAACGACGTGCAACCTCATTTTTTCGCCGAATTGCGCCGGAAATGTTCGGCGAAAAAATTCTACTAGTTTAGATTTTCCAACGGCGAATTACCATCGTATGGATTTTCGACAGAAAGAAACATTTCCGGCAGTTTTTCTTGTTACTGCGGATTTCATTCACCTGTAACAAACCATTTCCTGTAGTGGATGAATGAAGAAGATGAGAGTATTAGAACAAAAAAAGTAACATAAGTGTTTGGGCTTTATAGCCAACATCCATAGTGCACATGAAGTAGGATGAGCTTAGCCTGAGAAATATAATGTACAAGGAAACATACTATAGAATATCCACCTATTTGTTGGCAACATTGGCATGGAGGATAAAGGAAATGAAAGGAAAAGATAATGAGAGTTTCTTTCTCTTGATGAGTTCATGGTGAGTTCACGTATAAGATACTTATGTGAAAGTGACATCAAACATAAGAAACTATTTTCTCATGCTCATTTCAAAATACAATGAGAACTAGAACATGAAAATTTCACTACAATTTTTCTCTGAAATCAAAACTAGAAAAATTTAACAGAAGCCCTCTTTTAAAACCAGCTTTAGTAGTCTGATAAACACGGCAACCCATAGCTAAAATCTGCAAAAATCATAGCTCTTCGCTCAAACAGATCAGAGCTTGAGTCACTCTCATGATCAAAAACTCTCTTCATCTCTATTCTCTTTCTTTCTTATCTCAGCTTCTTCCCTTTTCCTCACCATAAGCATCAACATTTCTCCTTAGAAGCCATTTTCTTCTCCCAAATGCAGTACTGTTTGAAGGATTTGAGGCTTTTGCTATCTTCTTCCTTTGTGTTCTGAATTGCTTGTTACTTGTCCACTGCTTTGATCTACCTTTTGCATTAAAGAATTTCTGATTGTTCTTCTTCTTCTTGAAGGTTTTGTTGAAATAAAGAGTGAGAAAGGTGGCAAATTTTCTTACCAGGTGAGATAGGCTGCTTGAATTTCTTCTCCTCGTTGATGTGTCTCTCAACCTTAATAAACATGTTACATTATACAAATTTCATTAAAAAAAATTAAAAATTTGATGAATTCATTCTATTATATTGATATAATGCACAAATTTGTTAACTAAGACTCGAACCTTTTGGCATGAGAGAAGCCATCATCTCCAAACTCTTTTTCATGACAATGGTCTATGAGAGACATAGTGGTGCTGTTCGATAGCCATAGCCAAAGCCAAAGCCGACACCGTCAATGCAACCCGAAAAGTACCGC